AAAAAAAAAAGAAAGAAGCGCCACTTCGCAGGCTGCTTAAACTCGCTGTGCCGTGGCGAGCGGGGTGTACTCAGAGATAGTCGCACAGCTCCAAGCCTTTCCTTGCTGGGAAACACTTGGTCGAAGGCATTTAAAAAAAATAATCCCCATAAATCTCCATATAATGAGGCGTGCGGTTGGGGTTTAAGTCCCATCATTTCCCTGTGCTGTAACAAAGGGAAGCCCGATGAACTGGAAGGTCCTAGCATAGCAGTAGAGCTGTCAGGTACAGGTAATGCAAACAGGGACATTGCTCTAAGTACTTTGCAAGATTACAAACCATGGGCGGTTTTCCCAAGAACACCCACTTGAAGGTTTCACAGCCCGGGAAGCTACGCGCCCAAAGCTCCTTCCTCCGCCTCCAGCCTCCATACTCACACTACTGCCAGACCGAGGTCGGACTCTTGAGTCCACCGCCGTCGCCTCGTAAATCCAAGAATAATCCCCGACACGGAAGTTTCCTGCATAGGGTGGTTTGTTTTTACCGATGCTACTTGGGCAGACACAGTGGCTTACAGCTACCACGAGCAACGACCTGCAAACCCTAAGTCTACCCAGAATGATGGAGGGGACGGAAGGAGGCGGGAGCGCCGGCGCCCGGCAGCGGAGGCCATGCAAGACGAAGGCGGCCGCGGAGCCCTCCCGGGCCGAGCGTCCCCCGCCTTCCCAGCGGAGCCCCCTCCTGCCTCGCGGGGCTTGTCCGGCCAGCGAAGGAGCGAGGGACTACGGCGCGCTGCGGGGGAGATGGCGGGGTCCCCCGCCCTTCGGACGGCGCTGTAGAGGAGCTGGGAGGGGGCACTCTGCGGCGCACGGCAGGCGGGTGGAGCGAGTAGGAGGACCCCGCTTGCCCCGTCCCGTAGCGGGGGGCTTCACTGACGGCAAAATTTGCACTTGATAATTTTCTTAAAAGCACTTTGGAAGTCTTTGTTGAAATAGGCATAGATAATGGGGTTGAGAAGGGAGTTAGAGTAGCCCAGCCAGTTGATTACTGCCCCTAGCCACGCGGGCATGTAGCACTTACTGTCACAAAAGGGCAGGACTAGGGCCACGATGAAAAACGGCAGCCAGCAGAGGATGAAGGTGCCCATAATGATGCCCAGGGTCTTGACAGTCTTCCTCTCCCGGGACAGAGCCATTCTCCGTTTGGCCTCCGTGTTCTTCTCATTGCGCCTCTCGAAGGAGGAGGGCGGTGGGGAGTCGCACGCCTCGGTGGGCAGCGGCAAGTGAGTCTTGGAGGAACTGTTGCAGCGCTGGACCTCGATGATCTCCAGGGCAGTCCCGTCCTGGCCCTGCCGCACAGCGCCGTTAACACAGGCACCAGGCTTGGGCTCTAGAGTTCGCCTCCAGCCTTTGTCGGGCTCCCCGTTGCCTTTCTTCTGCACGGTGGCCGGAGAGAGGGTGAGGCAGGTGTCGGCGATTTTCTTCTTCTCCGCTTTCTTCACTGTCTTGCGGATTCTAAAGCGGGCCGCCTTGAAGATGCGACCGTAGAGCACCAGCATGAGGAGAAGCGGAATATAAAAGGCGCCGAAGGTGGAGTAGATGGTGTACCCGTGGTCCTTACTGATGGTGCAGGCATCGGGGTTCGAGCGGTCCTCCGGCGTTCTCCAGCCCAGCATGGGCGGGATGGATATCAAGAAGCCGATTAGCCAGGTCAGGCTGATAAGCACGGCCGCCCGTCGGGGAGTCCGCTTGTTAACATAGTCGATGGGGTCCGTGATGGCCCAGTACCTGTCCAAGGCGATGGCGCACAGGTGCAGAATGGAAGAGGTGCAGCAAAGCACGTCCAGCGAGATGAAGATGTCGCAGGTGACCTGCCCCAGTGTCCACTTGTTCAGCACCTGATACAGGGCCGCCATGGGCAGCACCAGCACGGATACCATGAGGTCGGTGACGGCCAGCGAGCCGATCAAATAATTGGCCACGGTTTGCAGGGAGCGCTCCAGGGCGATGGCCGCGATCACGCAGGCGTTACCGCTCACAGCGCACAGGATGAGCGTTCCCAGGAGCAGGGAGGTGAGTACCTGGTAGCCCAGGGTCACCTCGGCGAGGCCAAGGCTGCCTGTCCCCTCGGGGGAGCGCGCTGGGGAGGTAGTGTTGTTGGCCACATCCATGCCGGGCGGGGGGGTCGCTTCAGGAGACAGGCATGGGAAGAGGCGCCGGTCACTTGTGCGCTTCCCTGGCAGGAGGCATCGCCGCCCCGTGCGCTTTGGCCACGCCGGGCACCCCCCGCTCAACCACCCCTCCCTTCCCTATATAGCGCGGCGGGAGGCGGCCGAGGCTCGGAGGACGGCGGCTGGCGGAGCCGCCCCGCTCCCGCCCATCCCCGCCGCCTCTGCCCAGCGCGCAGCCCCGGGCCGTGGGGGCGGCCCTCCCGCCGCCGCTCGCCGAGCTGCTGCCCCTTGCTCTGCTGCTCTCCCGCGCCGTTCCTCCCCGCTCTGCCTCTTCGCGCTCTCCTAGCTTTCTCCCTCCCATTCATCCTCCCCTCCTTCCCCTCCCCTTCCGTCCCCTCTCCCTCCCGCCCTCCTGCGGGGGGGTCTCGCTGGGTCGCCGTCGTCGGGCGGGCGGAAGTGTCCGTCACTCCCTCCTGCCCCCTCTTCTTTGGGGGGACACCGCAGAGAAACTCTCCACGAGTGCCCTCGCCCTCTCCAAATCTCGCCGCAGCTCTGCCCCGGCAGCGGTGCTCTTAGCTGCCCCTGGGGACTGGTGCCGGGACGGAGGGGAAGGGAGGCGAGGGGATAGCATTCTGTGAGCGGGCAGTGCCGGCTGGGGCGGGAGGGCACCGCACCGCCCGGGCTGCCCACGGGCCGGGAGTGCCGAGGCGAGTGGCTTCGGAGGTGCCGATCGCCACCTGCAGGCGGCCGCCTGAGTGCCTGGCGCTCGGCGGGGTTCGGCCGAGAACCGCGAACACGGGACCGGGCAGACTTCGTGCGGGTCGGCACCCTCGCCCCCCGCCCAGCCTCCTCAGGGCGCTGCCGGGGCTGCCCGGGAAGCAGCACCAGCCGAGGTGCCGCGGGTACAGGGACAGCGGGAGCACGGGCAGCAGCGTCCGTGGGTGTCTCGGCAGGGACTGCTGTACAGACGCACAGGGCTCCCGCTCACCGCTGACGAGTGCTGTAGCGATGAAAGCCCGATTCGTTATGATTCATGCCGTCGGCCCAGCGTCCTGCCGTCGAGGGCACAGCTCCAGTGCGCGGCTCCTCGTCCCCGCGGTTCCCCGCTTAAAGGCGGCATTGCCCCCCGGCCCTCCCGAGACGGGAATTGCAGTGCACCACGCTGTTGAAATCACTGTTCTCTTACAACAGTAGCAACAGAGGCAGCAACAATTAAAAAGTGGTTAAAAAAAAAAGATTTAAAAAAGCGTTATGGTTCCTTTCGACAGGAGGGTGAAAGGCTGTGACCGAAAGTGAAATGAGAAAAATATCACTGGGAACAATCTTGAATAAAAAAGTGTGTCAAATTGACACATCATAAGCAAATCAGTAAATAGATTATTATCCAGTAAATAGAACTAACAATCCTGGGAATCTATCATTTAAAAAAAAAAAAAAAAAAAAGTGATGGTGTTTACTAACTGACTGTCACTGAAAGACAAAGGAAAGTCTCTAACACAACTTCTGTGACACGTTTTCTGCTATATTGCGGCTCCGTATTTTGAACGATGGGAGTTCTCTCATTCCGCTCTGTAATTCTGCAAACTCAGAAAACGCAGAAAGCCGAAATAGTGATTGCTTAACAAGAAGACTTGCTGATTCTAACTTAATCAAACTTGAGATGAGGTTCACAGAGCCTGGTTTGCACACCCTCAGGTTTCCTTCATCTTCTCTCAGTCAACACTTGAAAATAAAGTTGAGTTCATAGCTTCAAAACGTTTGGACAGATTTCGGCCGCTTTCTCTTTACGACGGGTCCAGACTGCATTTCTCCAACCCTAGGCTTGCGATTTCCTATATCTGATCGGGACGTAGAGATGCGCTAGATAAGCAGATCAGAGCTTCACCCCTGCATGCCCGTTGTCTCAGCCGATCGCATCAACATTTACACGCTACTGAATGAAGACTTAATACAGATTAAATGTAATCGGTATTTAAGTATGCAGTACGCCTTCACTACCAACACCTATTTTCTTTTTAATGTCTCCTCAAATGCAGGGAACGGTTAGCTTCTTAGCAGCTGCCTCTTAAAAGGTTTTCCTTCAGTGAATCTGAGTTTGTTTTTGTTGTTTAGAGTCAGCCTGATTTAAAAAAAAAAAAAAAGGTACAAGTCTGGGAGGCAGGGAAACATCAAGGAGATTGTTCCATCTTACTTGCATGGTGGTGGGGAAGCCATTATCCTAATTAGATTAGCCTGAAAATAGCGTTTCAAAGCCACGGGGGATGGGGGGTTTAGGAGTCCAGAATGGCTCTTGGGAAAATCGTTTCCAAGATTTTGCGCTGACAGGGCCAAGTGAAGTCAATCCCAGACACTTTTTCTCGAGAAATCCAATCGGAAAAAGTCGACAGGGTCCTTTTTCAACTGAAATATTTTAAATTGGCCCCTTTTTTTGTTTTTGTTTGTTTGTTTGTTTGTTTGTTTTTAGAGATTGAAGGTCATTTCACTTTTAATTAAATTGAGAAGCAAGTTAGGCAACCATGGAGGAAGAGGAGGAAGTAAGAGGTGAAAGATGTAGATGAAGCTAAAATTCATTCTTTTGATGTGATAGTGTCTTTAATCCTACTAAGCATTTAAAGACCGAAATTCCTGTTAAACTTTCAAGCAGCTAAATGATGTGCTAATGTCTTTAGATAAGCTAGGTGAAGCATTTAGGGAAATTCTTAAATAAAACATACCCTCATAAAATCCAACCTGACTTGAGAGTAAATGAATCCTTAAGACCACGCAACCTGAGAAAGTCAAATTAAAATATTAATATTATTTAGTTATGATACAGTTGCAGCAAACAAGCAGCTCCTCATTAAGTACAAAAAAAAAGGCATTAGCAACAGTGGCAGAAGATGCTTTTCTGGGCAATTTCATTCCACCCATTTCAAATAAAGAAAAGGAGACCTACATATTCTTGATGCTCTCAGATTATTATTATTATCTATTTGTAAATTTAAAACTGAAATGCCACAATTTGATGGCAGCATTTTGTTCATGTGGTTGCATGTTACACTTTGGTTTGAAAAGGATTTGAGTCTTGGGCTTTTTTTTGCTCTTCACCACAATAAGATACAGCATTTGTGATATTCGGGAGTTTCTATTCCAGTATTGGTTTCAAAACCAATGGGTTTAAAGACTAGGGAGCTAAGGAGATTAATTGTTTCAGTTTACTGAAACTAATAGAGTATGTACAGTTTTCTGTCAGAGAAATTCCAAACAGGTGTGCCAGGACACAACCTATCCAACTACAGCCCCCTTGAATTTTCTCATGATGCATCTCTGAAGTACAGTCAAGAGGAATTAGCACTACTCCACACTGTTTGAAACCTTCTGAAAAACAGATATAAATTTAAAATACAGAGAAGCAAACAAGAATTTCATGGCTGAAGTGACCATATCATTGAAACCCATTCCTTTCACACAAGTACATGCATTTCAGTACAAGATCCACTTCAAGATATCTGCTTCCACCTTTCATAAAAGACAAAATGTTTCACAGTACTTAAAAGAAATAAGCTTTATCCTATAAAAGACTGAAAGATATAAGAAGATGACAGAAAAGTTTAAGGCCACTGCTAGTACTGAAGCTGCATAGCTCTCAACAAACTGCTCTGGATCAAAATGAGTCCAAATTTGGCAAAGGGTTTAGTCATGACTTTGTGAACAAGATGAACCAACCAGGAAACTAAGTGATTTTCAGTAACAGCAACAGAACTACTCCCCATGTCCTATCTCTAGTTATGGCCAGTTTGTGAAATCTTGGACATCCAACTCATACTAAAGAAGAGGGACAAAAAATTCTCAATTGAATGCTACAGTTAGTCTACTCAGAATAAATACACTACAAATCCAGTGCAATAGCACAACAAAGAAGCCTAAATTTCCTACTTTTTGATCACCTTTGTGCCATTTCAATACTTTTTTTCTCTTTTGGGGCATGGAGGTGGGCTGGGTAGTTCTCCATGCTGTCCTGTCCAGACAGCCAGGAGCTGGCTATCCACGACCCACTAGGAGCTGTGCAGCACTGAGACATTCCTCTAGTTCTGCAAGTCATCTGGGGTTTAACAGAGGCTACAGCATGAGCACTTTACTCAGCCTTAGGGCTGAGTTAGGTCCTGTAAGGTACTGAGATAACTCTCAAGCTTCTCCTTAACACTCCCAGTTCTGCAAACACAGCAGTTGCACCCAAGATCAGGCCTGGAAAAATCTGTCAGTTCTATGCCAGACATGCTAAGGTAGCAGTGCTTTAAAAGCATGTCTTTAAGAGGTCTTGAGAATGGTACAGCTAGGTTCACATACTGCTAAATCAGCTTCTGGTGGCTCTGCACCTATCCCAGTCAGATTTCTGTTCCCTCTTCATTGCATATTTAGAACCATATCAGTGATCTGGGCCTGATAACCCTGGAAGTTCTTCCTGGAAGAAACAGGAATAACTGGAATGCCTGTCTATTATGTTTCCCATGGTATTAACCATGTTTCCATCGCCTGATATATCCCAGTTGACACTGTCATCGTAGAAAAGAGTGAGTTGATGGCAAGTTCAGTGCCCTATTTTCATGCCATTCAGCTGTCTTACTGCAACTCTTACATTAGTCAATTTTATCAAGGATATAAACTAATTATTTATAAAATACACACATTTTTATTTGCTGCTTCTATCTTTCTCTGCCAAGAGCTCACAGTAGTAAGTAAAATTACAGCAGAAGTCAGCAGAACTCACAAAAGGAGATAATTCATTCCACCTCACAGTGTTTAAAGTAATAGAAGAGTATGTGAACATTTCATCAAGAATGAATAAGTATTATGTATATTCAAGGAACATCACTGAAGTGAAACTGTTACTAATGATGCCTGCTATCAAAATCCTGGGGCAGCTTTTATATGACTCTAGAAGTTTAAGATTAATTTTTAAAGATGTTTGCTTTCATATTCTTCCTCTGTGAAGTAAAGAGACTTCCAAGAATAGTTGTTCAAACATAAGTTTGCAGAAACTTATCAGAATTCTGGCATTGTGGGAAAAGTTGACT